AATGACAAGGAGGCCATGGAAGAAAATTATTATGAGCCATAGGTCATGAGATAAAATTACAGCAGTGCCAGGCTAAAATGTGTGCCTGCAAACTGATTTGCCTGTTTGTGTTGCTGTGTTCTCTGAACATCTAGACACTGCAGCTCAGTCCACTGGCTGATATTTTCACATATGAGCTCTTTGTATTCTAGTATTTCTAATATGAATCAGCCTGGCATTTATGTAAAATTTGCATTTACAACAGAAAAGCAGAGGATATGATTTTATGATTATCAGATACTGAATACTGATTAATTTAAAACTGCCTACCTGTCTTTATAAAAACCCACCCCTATGTGCACACAAACACAATACACTTTGAATAATTTATATTTCCTAAAACTGTGCATGATTCAAAGAATTTCAGTGCTAAACACAGACCTGGAAATCAATGCCCTTTGAAGACCACATTTTAAAAATTGGATGATCAAAGTCCAGCACCTCTGCAAAGAAACTTACAGAATAGCAGTTCACCAACAGAGTCTGTGAAAAGTCATTGACTTAAAAATTATTGTTCTGATTGTCTTGTCCCATACATGTAATTATACAAATAAGCCATCTAAAATTTTAGGACTATCACATACGGGTGGAAAAGGCAATTTTGAGCTCAAAGACTTAAAATGTTCTACTGAATAAAATCAGTACCCCTGTGAGATCTCACTTTTGAGGGGTCACAAAAATAGTGTGAACAGTTACCAAGGAATTTAAAAGTATCATCTCTGAATTTCTGCTATAAAGGGATAGATTTTAAGTTGTGGATTAAAAGTGAAAACTGTAAATAAAGAGAAATTTCCCTATTTTTTCTGAAACCCCATCACCATGGTGTTTGGCTGTCTGTTGAATGAGGTTAGCAAAAACATCTCCAAATGAGAACAGGTATCTGAAGTATAAACAGGCATGTGGGGTATTCCAGTACCACAGCTCAGGGAGGAAAATAGCAGCAAGTCAGATGTGAAGGGGCATGAGCACCTCAGAAGGAAAATGTCAGCTGTAGAAGACTCCTCCATTCCTCATGGATATGTTAAGGACACTGTCCACATTCCAGCTCAGCCAAGGGAAAACATGGCCTTTAAAATACTCACTGTGCCTGTCATAAAATAAGAAATGCACAGAACTTGGGCTTTTGTACTCTTCCTATAAAAACTGAATACTGTTTCTGCCATAGTATACCTCCTGGCCTTCCTTTCTTCTACACCTGAAGTAGTAGTTTTAATTTACCCACTGACTCTTCCTAAAATAAAAATAGTCTGGTTCCTGCCTCTAATTCCAAAACTAGACTTCATGTGAGACTCCTAAGAAGAGGCTCGGTTTATTTCCTCCTATTATGTCACCAGTGCCATACACAGATCCATCTGACCCCATCTAATTGACCTTACCCTTGACATGAGGTGGAAATTTCCATGGGGTGAGAATTTTTTGTTGCAATAGTTCTTAGTAAATATGTAAACTATCACACCCTCAGTCGCTCAATAATTGGTAAATTCAATTAGCCAAATTTTTATCCTGAACTTTTACCTGCAGACATTTCCTGGTCTACAAACCTTTCTCAGAAGAGGTACAAAACACAAAAAAACTGGAAAGATTCACTGTCTTGTAGTTTTCATGGCAGCTATATAACCATCCAATCACACTTTGACCCTTTATAACAATAATGTTGTGCATCTGATCTGTAACTGCACTTTTGAAAATTTTATCTTACTATTATGAATCAAGTGATGCTTTTGAAACCTCTAAGAGAGAAGATTTCATTCTTACTCTTTCCAGCAACTACCTGAAATTTGGGAAGTACTCAGCATGTCTTAATTGTGATGCTAAATGAGAAAACTACTGCTATTTCTTGCATTGTAAAGAGGGTGATTAACCTTAACCTAGAGCAAAATAAGCACTTCATATCCAATCTGACAAACTTACCTGCAAAGAATTTTTCCCCTTTTTGGTAGTAGGGATCCAACTCAGGATCTCACACTTGCAAGGAAGAAAACTTTTTTCTTATATTCTCTTTTCCAGTGCTTTCTCTGGAAACAAGAATAATTCAAATCTGCTTTATGGTTTAGATTTGGTTTAAGTGTGTTTCCCAGAGGCTCATGTGATAGAAGCATGGTCCCCATTGTGGTGTCATGGGAAGGGATGGAAGGTTTAAGAGGTGGGACCTGGAATGAAGTAATTATGTCATTGGAGGGGCTGGCCTCAGAAAGAGTTCTTGTAGCTTTCCCAAGAACCTGGTTAGTTAGCAAGAAAGAGCTGTTATAAAATAACAAGACACAAGAGTATCTTTCCCCTATTGTCTAGCTTTCTGTCTTGAGACGATAATCAGCATCATTAGTCATCAGGAAAACATAAACCCAAATCACAGAGATAGCACAATAGAGACACTAGAATGGTTAGAAAAAAGAAGACAGATAATACCAACTGTTGATGAAGATATAGAAAAATTGGCATCTTCATACTTTGTTGGTTAAAATACAAATGATGTAGCTACTTTGAGTAACAATCTGATAATTTCTCAAAAAGCCAAAATGGAAATGAGACATGATCAAAATATACAGTAAATGTTTACATTTTAAAAGAAATTTATCCAAAAAGAAAGAGGTTTAGCTCAGCATTGTAAGCACCTGCTTGGCAAAAGCAAGGTCGTGAGTTCGATCTCCGGCACCAAAAAAAAAAAAAAAAAAAAAAATTTATTACAGCAAATGACACATTAATCTCTCTCAAAAATACACCACTTGCTTTGAACACGATTATCCCATCATTATTGCCACATTTTTTTTTTGAGATAGTATCTTGCTATGTGTTGTAGGCTGGCCTTGAACTCACTTATATACCCCAGGCTTGCCCCAAACTCTCAGCAATCCTCCTGCCTCAGCCTCCCAAGTGCTGGAATTATAGGCATGTGTCACTATATCTGGCATTTGCCATTTTCTGAAGCAGTTCTGGAATTCTTCTTTCCTGAATTCTACTGCCAAATGCCATTAAATGGAAAGGCTGGGTAATAAAAACACTATGACATGTCCTCATCCACTTTATTCATTGAATCTGGCACCATGTGACGTCTGTCTCTTCCCTAAACTCAGAATGACTATAAAGGTAAATGTTTTTAATTCACTCAGAACACGGAGGACACTCTTGAAAGAGGACTTTCAGAACTACTTAAGAAAGTGCCAAGAACATGAGGATAAATATGTTTGAAGTAAGAAGAATTAGGGGCCGGGGATTTAGTTCAGCAGCACGTGCACCTGCCTTGCAAAGACGTAGCAGTGGGTAGGATCCCCAGTACGAGAGAGAGAGAGAGAGAGAGAGAGAGAGAGAGAGAGAGAGAGAGAAGAGCTAAAGACAATGTGTCTTTTGCTATAATAATTTTTTTTTTTGTCTTTTTCCTTTTTATCGGTACCGGGGATTGAACTCACGACTGCCTGCTTACAAGGCAGGTGCTTATGCCGCTGAGCTAAATCCCCAGCCCCTATAATAATTTTTTAAAATGTAAATATTCACTATATTTAAATCATAACTCATGCTATATTACCCAGAAATTTTTCTCCAACATATATATCTAAGAAAAAGAAAACTCATACACACAAAAATTCATATATTCACAGCATATTCATAATATTCATAGCAGCAGCATTCATAGTAGCCCAAAGTAGAAACAACACAAATGTTCATCATCTGTTAAATGAATAAATCAAATGCCATAATGGACTATGATTCACATAAAAAAGAATGGTGTTCTGAATCATACTGCAACACGACTGAACTTTGAAAACATTATCCCAAAGGAAAGAAGCCAGACATAAAAGAATATATGTTGTATGATTTCATTTATATAAATGTTCAGAATAGGCAAATCTACAGAGGTAAAAAATACACTAGTAGTTGCCTAGAGCTGGAATGGAACTGCAAGGATATGGAGGATAGGAAACGATTATTAATGGTACAGATTGCTTTGGGAAGGGTGATGGAAATGCTCCACAATTAGAGCATGATGATGGTCTCTTTTAATGTATTAAAAAGCCCTGAACTATACACATCAAATGGGTGAATTTTATGGCATATAAAATATATCTCAAGTTGTTTTAAGAAAAAAAGGAGAAAGGAACAACTTTGGTAAATATTTGCTAGTCACTTACTGTGTGTGAGGGTGACTAAGCATAACCTCCATTCTCAAGCAGTTTAAAATCTAGGATGTGGCTGTGGCTCCATGCAGCTCAATATGTATTTTGATTGACACAAGGCCAGACTTATATAAATAACTGGTATATATATAATATTTACTTCATACTCAATATTGAGCACTGTGCTGCACACGGGGCAAAGAATGGGCATCCTCTAGAGGCAACCGGACTATTGAAGAGAGAAAGAAGAATCTAGACAACAGCTGTGTTTGAAGAACAGCTGCCAACGTGTCCATCAACCCTGGAAACAAGTATTGGGAAAGGAATGGTGCTGAAGGTTTTCTGGGAAGTAAGACATTGTTTGGGGGGTATGTGCTAACAAGGTAAGAGGTAGAAGGTTCTCGTACCAAGTAAACTTCATGAACAAGGTGCAGAGATATCAGAGAGACTAAAGCCAGAGGACACGATGAGGCAAAAGGAGAGGTGAGAAGAGATTAATTTAGACTGTGGGGAAGTAGATGTTATTGGGGCCACAAAAACATCTGCAAGTCACCAGAAGTTTGAACTGAGGACCCCAAGGAATCATCAAGAGTTTTGAGTCTCAGAAAGGCCATGGTCTTGTTTTAGAAAGACTGCTATGGCTGCGTGTGAGGAGACAGATTGGGTGGGATCAAGACCAGGAATGGAAAGACCTCTCTTCCAGGGTGATGAGCAAAAGCAGTGGTGGCAGTGTGCTTGGGGCACTAATAGTGGGGTCAGTGAGGGAGAAAGATGTTATGTCCAGGGTTTCAGGCTGGGTGATGAGTGGCAGAATGTGCCAGCACCGAAAATAGAAACGAGCCTGATTCCTATGGGAGTGAGGTGAATGTAACATAACTCTCTCTCCTGAATAGAAAGGGCTACTTAAAGCTGGAGCTTCCCTCCTGGAAATGTAAGTATCAAATCCTTTCCTTTGCTACCAGAATGTAAAATTAAATCTAACTGCTTGGTACCTATGCCAATGGCAGAACTTCAGTCACTAGAAAATACCACGTATTGTCTTAAAAACTGTGCCAACATTAACTGGTGCTAATAAATCTTACTGGCTGATTTTCAGTCCAATGGAAAAAGTCTGCTAATAACAGGGGGGAAAGTTCTCCAGAGGATATCATGGTCCCCAGAATTGAGTGTGTTATTTTCATGTATTACAGAGAGGTGTGAAATGCATCAGTGCTCTAAACTGGTATGGTTGATAGGTATCAATTAGTCAGTCAGTCCCAGAATTAAATAACATGGAAAATAAAGTCACTTTTTTAGTATTATTCTTTTGTAATTCTATAAACTACTTCAAAAACCTTTGTGCCTTTGCAAACCAGAAAAGGCCCCCAAATCCTAATGGAATTATTGATTCTTGAATCTACCCAATGTTTTAAGACAATCCCCTTAATGCATCTATTGATTGCTGATGGGATCAAAATGAACATGAAAAAATAATCAATAAACATATCCTAAAAATAAAGTTACATCAGAAACCATCTCTGTCTTCTAATATGGGATTCTATGGAACAAAGTTCCCTTAGAAACCTGAACTTTCTTTGACCTGATAGAAAGTAGCCACTTCAGCATAGTATGAAAAAAAATGTGATATGCTTGTTCAAAAACAAACAACTGTTGAAAATGCATTTTAACCTCAGAGACCTCACAAGATAAAAGCAATGACCATATTTATTGATAACACAAAACTAATTCAGGAGAAACATATCAAACTTAGAAAACAAATTGTTAAATCATTCTGATGCTTTTTTTAATGCTGACCATGGGCCAGAAGCATAGCTACTCTTTCTCCAGCCCTAGCACTTCCCAGAGCTCATAATGATATTGCAGGCAGAGGAAACTGGCCAGTGCCCAAGGTTGGTGGTGCTAGTATCCTGCTAATGTTTTAATGGAAGGGATGGCTTGTGTATTACTGTTCTTCAAGGAAAGAGCTCATGAAACCACTTTGAGAAAAATATATTCATTTCCCTCGTTTCCCAATAGAATAAAATAAACCCCTTAGTAGTATTTATGAATTTTAATGAATTCAGTTCACTGTATTTTCTAAACCCAAAATCTCACAAATCGTCATAGAAATTATTAGCAATAGTTTTACAGGATTTTACAAAATATAAATTGTGGCTTTGGTGCTGTTATTATCTTGTGCTATTTCAGGTGGTGACAGGGAGAATCACACCATTTCTTACTCCACAGCTTATTGCCCAACCTGAAGAAGAACCTTGACTTAATTATAGGCCATTTTTCTAACAAAATAATGTAACCATACATTCTGTATGCCAATTGGATGATAAGGAAATGTTTTTAAATGCTTCATTTATTTTATTTAAATCTTGAGGAAACATGTGATGAAATAAATTTTCTGCATAGAAAGATCCAGCATAGATCCAGTATCCACTGATCAAACTCTCACTCTTCAGTCAATGTCTCATGATCAAGTTGTAGGAAACTCAAATAAAAGAGTAAACTGGTTCTGTACCTCATAATATATAAAACAAAGAACTCAAAGGGGAACAAAGATGCAAATATAAAAGAGAAAACTCAAAATAAAACAAGAAAGTAGATCTCCATAATCTTGATTTGGCCATGGATTCTCAGATATGAACCAAAACCATAAGAAACAAAAGACAGATCAATTGGATTTAATCAGAATTAAAAACTTTTGTGCCCCTAAAATACTAATATAAAGTTTTAAAAGATGACCCACCAGAATGGAAGAAAATACTTGCAACTCACTTATTTTCTAAAGGTCTAGTATTCAGAGCATCCCAAGAGTTTGCATAACTCAATAAAAAAGACAAAAATTCAAAGTTTTAAAATGAACAAAGGCTCTACACAAACATTCCTTCAACTAAAATATACAAATATTCAACTAAAAATACAAATATACAAATAAGTACATGACAAGATGCTCAACATCATTAGTCACTAATGGTATCTAACAAGATACCATTTCACACTAGCTCAGTGGCTATAATAAAAACATAATGAATAGAAAAATAACAAGGAGAGAATTGGAGCCTTCCTATGTTATCTTTGGAAATTTAAAATACAATAGTTGATTAAGAAACAATGTTATATTTTTCTCAAAAAGTTAAAGTAGATGGTAGGAGAACACTTAAAATATGATGATTCCACTCATTAACTGCATACCCAAGAGAACTGAAAATAAGTACTTAAACAAAAACTTGTACATGAATTTTCAAGACAGCTTTAGTTGTTAGTCAAAAAGTAGAAATAAGCCATGTATTCAAGGCAAATGTCGTATATCCATACAGTAGAATAATATTGTTATTATTTTGTTAGAGGTAAGAACTTATAAGCTTAATATTTCAGTAAAGTAAGTATTTGACGCTTGGTACCAGTGACTCTTGAACTTATCTGCATATTTGAATCAGCTGGAAGTTTTTAAAAACACTTTTATGTGACATTTTAATACATATATACAATGTAGAATATTTAAATCAGGATAATTAACATATTATTTCAAATAATTATTAGTTTCCTATGTTAGGCCCATTCAAATGCCTCTCTCCTAGCTATTTTGAAATAGTCAAATAGTTATTCTCAACCATATTTATCTTACTGTGCTATGGAATTTTAGAAGTTATTTCTCTTTACAAAGAAACACTAAGCCATAAATATGAATAAAGTACTGATACATGCTATGATATAGATGGACACTGAAAATATGATGCTAAGTGAAAGAAGCCAGCCACAAAAGGTCACAAATGTATGAATCCTTTTATGTAAGACATCCAGAATAAGCAAATCTGTAAAGACAGAAAACAGACTAGTGGTTAACAGGGATTGGGGGAAGGGGAAAATTGCTTTTTATTTGGTGTGGTAAAAATATTCTGAATTTAGATACTGGTAATGGTTGAATAACTTTGTGGATGTACTGGGAGCCACAGAACTGTAAACATGAAAATACAGTTAAGATTGTGAACTATGCGTTCATGGACTGTTTTTGTTTTGTTTCTCCCTCTGCAGTTCAGGTTGGCCTTGAACTCACTTTGTAGCCTAAACTGACCTCAAACTTGCCGGGATTTTCTTACCTCAGCCTAGTAAGTGCTGGGATTACAGGCAAGAGCTACTGTGCCTGGCTACATGAATTTTTATCACAAATTTAAAAATATATTTTAAATGAGGCGTGGTGGCACACACCTATAATCCTAGCACTTAAGAGGCTGAGCCAGGAGGATCACTGAGTTTTCAAGGCCAGCCTGGGCTTGGGCTATAAAGTAGTATAAGGCTAGCCAGACCATAATGAAATCTTGCCTCAAAAAGGACAAACACACACACACACAAAACAGATAGTGGAAAAAGTGGAATTAGTCTGTATTTTTAGAAATCTCCCTGGTGCATAAACTCAGCAGAAGAAAGTTAGATGCTAATATTTACTTCTGCAGCATTGCAGTGTTGAGTCACAAGAAAATGCAGCCTCATGTTGTTATACTCTGCAGTTGGATAAAATTGTAGACCTAAATTGCTTTTTCAAATCATTACAGTTATTCTTCTTTGGTACAGCACCCACACTCAACAACCAATAGATTTTTAGAGGTTAGCTGTAATGTGCAAGCTGAAGCCAAATCAGTTGAATCCCCTGGTTTATCTTGCAAAGGTAGAAAAGTGGAAGGGTGAGAATGTGCACGTGTAACACTACAGTGCTATAAAGAACAGAGGGTAAAGGAACAAATATAATGTCCAAGGTTATTAACTAATGACTAGCAATGAAGTTATTCAACTTTAAAATGCAGTTAATGCTGTGATGGGGAGAGACATAGTAGTCCACAAATACTAAGTTTCCTTCCATATGCTGAGAACGTGACTCAGTGCTAGGCATAAGATATGGGTGGAAAGTAGAAGGTATGAGAGCATACAACATGAACTTGAGTCTACTTCAAACATACCAAGTAGGGCTGGACTAAGACCACTTTCCCAGGATGGGTTAAGAGTAGTGAAGAGTACTCTGGGAAAGATGCTGTGGTGGTCCAACAGTGGAAGTTGTATCATTATCAAGTTTTTGGCAAACTAAAGGTGGTACTCAAAGTCAGTGTCACTATTGAGTCTGCCCTAGAGTGACTGGCAGTGATTATATCCACTATTTCTTCCTACATCCTCCAAAAGGCAATCACAAAAGTGAATTCCATACATTCTAAAGAGTTCTGATCACATTTATGAGAAGTTTTCAGAGAATTGCCAGTAAAGTTGTTGAAACAGAAAGAACAAAAGAACCACTGTATGAAATATACAACAAAGGGAAAAATGTAACTTATTTTCCATTAGGATTGGATACAGGAAGCCAGGATATTATAGGATACTATATAAGAAGCTTTGACTTTTGATTTGCAAATAGAAAGTTTTGATTTGTGTATCAGCTGCCTTCCAAGACCTAAAGGCTATAATAGATAAAAGCATTAGGCTTATTGTATCATTGGGCTTCTCAAAAAGTCATGGGTAAGAGTATTCAACCAGATCAAGGAAGCTAAGTTATGACACTGAAGGTTTCCAGGTCCTGGTAAGTGCTGCAGTGCATGGAATCAGCCATCTTCCTTGGGCCAAGCCATCCTAACACAGAACTGTAACAACAGCACTGCTTAAGGATGACTCCTTTCATTTACATGAGACTAATTACTAACCTGCTTTTCATGCTGCGTAAAAATCAGCATAATTTGGGCTCTAGGATCTGCTGATAAAAGACGTATTATTAGTGATCTCTGCTTTCTTTAACCTAGTGATCCAAACAAGCAACTGCATTTTCCAAAAGAAGATGCATATTAAATTTATGGAACATAGTAATGTTTCTCCTGTCTCTCTAAATTAAAAAATCTCTTTTTTGAGCCCTTTCTACTATTGTTCAGGACATAGCTGAGTGTGCTTAGTCTCTCTAGAATCAAG